CCTCCCTGGTGGCGCAGCGGTTGAGCGCTGGGTTGCGAAGCTGCCCGCAGCCTCTGCAGCGCCGGTTCGATCCCCGGCTGCTCCCCGGCCACCGGAGGAGGGTCCCGCATGGCGCGCAGACCTCTCCTGCCGCCCGCTGCTCCCCTCAGCAGTGTACCTCGGTCCTTCTGCCTGCTCTGCTCCCCGCTCTGGCTCTGGTGAATTCTCTCACCCTCCCGCGCTTCTGACTGTACCCGGTGCTTGTATAAATAGATAAATAAATCTTTGAAAAAAAAAATATACTCTGAAATACATGGACCCTGTTATGTCAGCATTTTTCATTTTACAATGCATATCATCAGGAAAAGATTTTTATCATGTCTGTGATAGGACTATGTTCAGGAAGTTTGGTTAAGATGCCTATCTTGAATCATCCATCAAGGACAGAGTGTTTGACTCATCTAAGAACACGGTAACATATGTAGCTAGGTGTATTTGGTGGCGTGGTTCAAATAAAGGGGAAGAATACTGTGAAACCATGTCTTAAAAGCTTACAATGAGCAAGATTTCCTTACTAGGCATTAGAAGAAAAAGTGATAGTCATAAACTAGGCACACATTTATTTCCCTTTTCCCTTGTTTTGACACTTGTTGATTTATAAATGTTGTTGGATTTATTAGTTTTCTGTAGTTGCCATACGGAAATGCCATAGACTAGTTGACTTAAACAACAGACATTATTTTCATGTAATCCTGGATTTTGGAAGTCCGAGATCAAATTGTAGGCAGGTTTGGTTTATCCTGAAGCTTTTATTTTTGGAAAACAGAAAATAGTCTTCTTGATGTGTCCTCTGTCTATGTTACCTGTGCCTAATATCTTCTTCCAAGGGTATTAGCCATACGGATTAGGGCCCACCCATGTGACCTGATTTAATTGTAATTTCCTCATTTTTTTTAAGATTTATTTATTTATTTATACAAGCACTGGGTACAGTCAGAAGCGCGGGAGGATGAGAGAATTCACCAGAGACAGAGCAGAGCAGAAAAGGCAGACTGACTAAGTGCGCTGCTGAGGGGAGCAGCGGGTGGCAGGAGTGGTCTGCATGCCATGTGAAACCCTTGCCCAGTGGCCAGGGATCGAACCAGTGCTGCAGAGGCTGTGGGCAGCTTCACAACCCAGTGCTCAACCGCTGAGCCACTGGGGAGGCCCAATTTCCTCATCTTTTAAAAAGTTTATTTATTTATGCATACAAGAGCTGGGGTACAGGCCAGCAATGCAGGTGGGGGTGAGAGAATTCACCAGAGACAGAGTGGGGAACAGAACAGGTAGACTGACCAAAATACACTGTTGAGGGGAACAGCAAGCGAGACAGGAGAGGTCTGCCTTGTCATGTGGATTGCTCCCTGGCCGTCTGGGGATCAAACTCACGCTGCAGAGTCTGCGGGCTACTTCATAGTGCTGTGCTTAACGCCTTGTGCCACCAGGGAGGCCCCCCTGCAATTTCCTCTTTAAGGGGCCTGTCTTAACATAAAGTCATATTCTCTGGTTTTGGGGTTTTGAACTTCAATGCAAAACTTGTGGATGGAAATATTTGAGCCTGACATATTGGTCAATGAAATTCAAATACCAAGTATAAAATTATATAGCTTAACTTGAAGCTCAGTAACTGACTACACTTTCACAACCAAGAACTATTTTTACTAATATATTTTTGACTATGAGGTTAAGATTATCAGTATTTCAGTCAACCTGCCTGTTCTGTCACCCACTGTGTCTCTGGTGAATCCTCTCACCCCTATACCTCTGGCATGTACCCCAGTTTTTGTATGCATAAATAAAAAAAAATCTTTAAAAAATGCCCTTTGGGACCCTTCCCCCACACGTGAGTCTGATCCCCACACAGGACAGACTCATAGGTCACAGGTTGACTAGATATTTCAGTTCCCCGGTATTATGCTACATACATCCTGTACTATAAGGCAGTGAGCTGCATGATCATCTACAGTGAGGAGACAGAAGAGTGTGGACATCTCCCCATCAAAACTGGGTTATGGCCAGTTCAATAAATAATAGCCCCTTCCCCCCAAAAAAGGTAAAAAAAAATTCCCTCTTTTCTACATTGAATTTGAGGTACGTTTCTTTTACATTATAGCATTACATTTTGCATTTTTGAGGCTGGTAGTATAACTTTTGTTGCCTATATTTTATAGTAGTCTTATTGATGCTATATAAACAAGTAATTTATTCTCAGTGGGTTATTCCTGCCACAATATATTTTTATTTATTTATACAAGCACTGGGTGCAGTCAGAAGCGCGGGGTGGGGGGGTGAGAGAATTCCCCAGAGCCAGAGCGGGGAGCAGAGCAGGCAGAAGGACCGAAGTACACTGCTGAGGGGAGCAGCGGGCGGCAGGAGAGGTCTGCGCGCCATGTGGGACCCTCCTCTGGTGGCCGGGGAGCAGCCGGGGATCAAACCGGCGCTGCAGAGGCTGTGTGCAGCTTTGCAACCCAGCGCTCAACCACTGCGCCACCGGGGAGGCCCCTATCTCTTTATTTTTTGACAGATTACATTGTTTGAAAGATTACATGTTTGTTTGAGTTTCATTTCCATTTTTTATTGTTACTTCTATAGATTTTTGTTTTGATGTTACAATAAAGTTTATCTATTATTATTTATATATATATGAAAATTTTAAAAATATTATCAGATTCATTATTATGGTACACAATGTTTTTCTTTTCCATTCCCACATTGCATAATTTTGGTGTCTGTTATTCTCTATGAAGTTATTTTGTTATTTTAGTCCCATTATTATTTCTTTAAAGTCTGGGTTGGTGATAATGTATTCTTTCACTTGTTATTTATCTATAAAGCTCCTTATTCTTCCTTCAGTCTTGGTAGTTTGTAAAGTATTCCAGGTTGGAAGTCTTTTTGTTTGAGGGCTTTAAACATGTCTTGGCATTCCCTTCTTCCCTGCAGTATTTCCATTCTAAAGGCTACAGATAATCAAACATTATTTCCTTCTGTGTAACTTTTCCTTCTCTGAATACTTTTTTTTTTTTTTAATGTTCCTTTCGGAGTTTTTTTTTTTTTTTTTTTTAACATTTATTTATTTATTTATACAAGCACTGGGTACAGTCAGAAGTGCGGGAAGGTGAGAGAATTCACCAGAGCCAGAGCTGGGAGCAGAACAGGCAGACTGGCGAAATACACTGTTGGGGGAAGCAGCAGACGCACCAGGAGAGGTCTGCGCGCCATGTGGGACCCTCGCTGGCTGGCTGGGGATCAAACTGTGCTGCAGAGGCTGCGGGCAGCTTCGCAGCCCAGTGCTTAACAGCTGCGGTACCGGGGAGGCTCCTCTGAATACTTTTAATGTAATTTCTGGCCACTTGTTAACAGTTTGATCATAGCGTGTCTTGGGGAGTGTCTTTTTGGATTTATTACGTTTGAACATAAACAGAACAGATCAGAATGACTCATTTTGCTGATTAGGGAGATTCTCACCTGTCATTCATTTAAATAAAATATAATTTTCATTCTTCTTCTGGCATCTTCATGACATGGATATTGTTTCTTTTTTGCCTGTCACAAAGAGTTCTTATACTGTTTTCACTATGTTTTTCATTGCTAATCTATTTGTGTTTTCCACCAATATGCATTCAACTCACTGATCTATAAGCTACTTGTATTTGGTTACTTTTGAGGCCATTTCATATTTTAAGTTCCGTTAATTGTCTTCTTAAGTCATTTCTGTTTGAAACATTTTCATCATTTCTCTATTCTTGTTGTAGTCCTGCTTTAGTGCCTTAATTGTTTTTCCTAGTTTGAGTAGCATAGTTAGTACTGCTACCTTGTGCTCCTTTTCAGGTAAGTTATTCAGTTATATAGGCAAGTTGTGGATTTGGATGTCTGTCAAGTTTTTTGTTTTGTCACTTGTGCTATGCTCTTCCATCTCTTTATGTTTAGTGTTTATGGGTTAAGATGAAGAGCTTTCTTTCTTTGTCTTGGTGAGTTAGATTTATATTATCTTTAATATATTATTTACTTGGGATGTTTTGGTGTCTGTTGCTTTATTGGCCAGCACCCCTGCACCTGTTTAGATGATTGGATTGCTAGTTCAGGTAAGCAGTAGGAATTAGGAGATAGGCAGTTGTATATCAGGAGCTTGTTGCAAGCAAGCACCAAGAGTTCAAACCTCTGAAGGTAGTTCATGTTGTTATTTTGGTGATTGGTGATTTACAGTTGTTCCCATCCATAGCCCAATTCCTTAGTCAATCTGTTTCCAATAATTTCAGACTAGCATCAGCCTCAGCTGTGGTTCGGCTTTGATATGTTTGTTCTGAAACCAGTATTATTTCCTCTAGTTGTGGGACAGGAACAGAATGAACTGAGAATTTCTGGTTGCACTGTGGACAGGATAATAACCTGGTTCTAATTACAGGTAAATGAGGGGTGTTTGTTTCTCAGGTAAATCAGGGGTGTGTATTTATGCCTTCCACAAAAGACTACTTAACTTCAGACTTCTCACTTAATCCTCTTTTAGTAGCTGTATTATTATGAGGGAGATCGTTGTTGGGAAAAGTCCAGGCTTAGAATTGTTCTCTATTCCTTTCAAGTACAGAGCCTTGCTCCTGTTGCCAGCACTGAGGTACTTAGAACATGGTTAACAGAAATAAGTATATATATATATACAGTTGTAATCTTAACTTTGAACCCAAGTGTGATTGAGGTAGACCTTTAACAAAACACTACCACCAGCTATAGGAAAGAGCTTGGTGCAAAGTTGAGTCAATTTATCCTTCACCATTAAATCAGGTTACAATGATAGATAATTTTAATAAATATTAAAATAATATAATAATAATAAATTTATTATTATTAATAAAATAATAATAAATATTTCTGGGATTCAGTTAAAACTTTCTAATTTTGAAATCCTTACTTCTTGGCATCTGCATGTAGGTATCTCCACAGTTTCTCAGTGTTTTTGAATCTAACTAGTGATTTTGTTTTGTCTTCAGGATGTTTTGAATAACTTAGGATCTTGTGAACTAGATGAAGATGATCTAATGCTTGATCTAGAATTTTTAGAAGAAAAGAATCTGCATCCTTCTGGTAAGTGTTGAATAAATGCACAATTCATGAAACTCTGATTGAGGTCATTTAGCTTTCACTAAAGATATATTTAAGTGACATTCATTCTTTTCAAGCCTTAGTAGGTCTATTTCAAGTACAGTCATATTCTAGATACCATGAACCCATGATTCTGTTGATGTTGAAATCTATTATGGCTTTATAAGTCTAGTTAAAACATCATAATAAAATAGGAAGGGACTATAAAATAAAAGTTATTTTAAAGAAGAAGTTTCTATTAATTTACATAATGAACATTAATAATTTCTTTTTTGGGGAAAGAAAATAATAATTACAATCCCATTTTGCAATTGTCTTATTTAATCAAATTGAAGCCTTATGACTCTGTATTTACACTTCCAATTTTATTTATTTCAATAATGATTATATAATTTACTACTGATTCAATACAGTTTTTCTCAAAATAATAATTGTCAATAACATTCATAAGCACATACTTATAAACATTTAAAAAACATTGAGTTACAATATGCAAGAAATAATTTCTTGATAAATGAATTAAGGAGTATATTTTTCTAATTATTTAAATTTGTGTTAAAGTCTAATATCCCATGCCTCTGAATACCAAAATTATTGCCTTTAAAGTAGATTTTAGGAAATAATTTTTCATTAAAATTTATATGTTTGACTATAAAGGCCAGATTTTATAGATTTTTTACAGCTAATAATGCTTTTAATATAATCATTTCAATTTAAAGTAGAATTAGCAGTTATAAAAGGGAATGACAGGGGTGGATTATTAGATATAAGGTGTCAGATGTATGGTAAAGAAAAGAATTGGACTTTTAGTGCTTAACTTGATGTAATATATATAGATGTTGCTTTATAATTATGCATAACTGAAGATCGTATAATGTTATAACGCAGTGTTACTTCAATAAAAATATGTTTAAAAGTAAAACTGATGTTAAAGTGGAGCTTTAAATCTTGGGTATTACTGCATAAATTTAAGAACATCGGCCTCTTCTTAGTGTCCTTATTTTTAACATTTAGCAATCAGACAGTTTCTAAGATTACTCTAAGATACCATCTGTAATTTTTATGATGAATTTTTCTTATTCAGTATTTTTATTTTATAGATAATATATTAAAATGTCAAATTAGTGCAAAAATGATATTCATAATGTTATGCTATTGTAAGGAATAATGAAGAAGACATTTTAAAATATTTTAAGTAGAATATAAATTTAGAATAATTATTTCTTGGGGCAGTCTTCCTGCAATTGATTTGATAGTTATTCCATTAAAAAGCTTAGACTATTCTCACTTTTATGCAGATACCTTATACAATTATATAATTATGTATATTTTTAAAAAAAATACATACATCTGGTGAAATATATATACTTTCCTGAAGTGGAATTTTTCAATATCTAGCAAAATTCTACATTTATTTACTTTTAGATCCAACAATCTGTCTTGTAGAAATATAATCCTAAAACATTGGAAATATGCCAATAATGTATATATATTAGTACTCATGTAAAATATGTATAATAGCAAAATACTAGAAATACCTCCAGTATCCTTCAAGAGTCCACTTGTTTAATAATCAATGGTCTAGGGCCTCCCCTGTGGCGCAGCGGTTGAGCGCTGGGTTGCGAGGCTGCCCGCAGCCTCTGCGGCGCCGGTTCGATCCCCGGCTGCTCCCCGGCCACCGGAGGAGGGTCCCGCATGGCGCGCAGACCTCTCCTGCCGCCCGCTGCTCCCCTCAGCAGTGTACTTCGGTCCTTCTGCCTGCTCTGCTCCCCGCTCTGGCTCTGGCGAGTTCTCTCACCCTCCCATGCTTCTGACTGTACCCAGTGCTTGTATAAATACATAAATAAATCTTTAAAAAAAAAAAATCAATGGTCTACTAAGCAGTCATGAGATGGAATAATGAAGATGTCTATATATGATACAGCATGTTTGGAAAGATACATTGTTGATGGAGAGCTTTACAATAATGGATTAAGTAGCCATACCTAAAACTTTATCTTAGAATGATTAGCACTAATACACCTTTTTTAAAACTTTCTTTTTATTATTTATGTATGCATATAAGATCTGGGGTGTAAGCCAAGGTGTGGCATGGGGGTGGTGAGAGGATTCATCAGAGACAGAATGGGAAGCAGAATAGGCAGACCTAGTGAAATACACTACTGAGGGGAGCAGTGGACAAGAAAGGCGAGGTCGGCTGTGCCATGTGGTTTAGCTCCTTGGCCAGATTGAACTTGTGGTTCAGTGGCTGCCAGTATCTTCATAGTGCAGAGACTTAACTTGTGCCACCAGGGAGGCCCTAAAAAACTTTTTATATATATCGGTTATCAATTAACTAATTGTTAATCAGTTAATCATTTAACTAAATAAATAAAATTAACACTTCTTTTAGACTGACAAGACCCTTATATGTTGCTTAGTAAAGGACATGCATAAACTTATTCAGCCAGAATTTCTTCTTTCTGAGCAAATGTGCATCAACAAATATTTGTAGCTTTTTAAAATCACACAATATGGCATCAAAAGTGAGATCAATTTTCAAAAGACATTTTAGCAATTAGCCTTAAATAAATCCAAGTCACTTGAAGGACTATCTCACTTATCAGAAACGTATTACAAATATGAAAAGTATCATCATTTATTTTATGAATCATTTGGTTAGGTTATAAATGATTTGAAGGTTTTCTTCACAATTGAACACCTTTTATTAAGAGAGTTATTTTACTGGACAGAGTTCAAAAGTCTGTTGTGAACAATTCCCTTGCAACTTTTCAAAATGTGTATATAGGATGCTGCTCATTGTTTGAGCTTTTACCAAGCTATTCATAAATTGAAATTAACTCAGAAGATTTGTAGTATTTACATATCATGATTTTTTACAATAACAGAATGAAGTACATAATACCCTAGTGTTTTATAAAACACCCACTAGTGTTAAAAAGCCCACTAGTGTTAAACATTCTAAAATGATGTTTTTAATGAAGTGATTTTCAAAAATCATAAAAAATTGTTTTGTTAAAGCATTTCAATTTATGGCTATAGAGTCATATCAGAGCAAAAAATTGGGACACTTTATACTAAGGTACAATATAGTGGCCAAGATGATGACTTTATACTAAGGTACAATATAATGGCCAAGATGATATTTTCAAAAATCCATAGAAGGATTTTTGCTTCGCAAATATTGTCCAATATATATATTGTCATATATATAATACTATATTTATATATTTTATATTTAATATATTTTCATATATTTAAAATATATTATATATTTATTTTTAAATATATGTATATATAAATATAAATACATAATATAAAATACAAATGCATAATTAGGATATATTTTAATATATAAATATATTTTAAAATATATAACTATATATGTATAAAATGTATATATATGTAATATAAAATTACTATTCCCTTGCAAGTTTTCTAAATGTTTGCATTGGCTGCTGTTCATTTTGAGTGATATAGTTTGTGAAGAAATGTTCTAAAGGACAGTGTTACACACAATTAACTTAAATGGGTTAACATTCATATGATATTATTCATTATTGGTTGATGTACTACTTTCAGTATAAGCAGTATGAGCTAAACTATAACAACCAGCAAAGTAAAATATTAGACTATCCCAAACAGAAGAGGTAAAGACAATGTGAATTGTGTAGTTTAAGGTCTCTCTCATAGAAATGCCTATAATTTTGGAATATTAACTTACTTGAATATTTAGGCATCTATCTTGACGAATTTTGTACTAATGACTATATCTCACTATATCTCATTTGTTAAAGATGGCTATTTATTACTGGAGTCATAGTAGTTCTGTACATCTTTAAATGTTTTTTATTTCTCAGTGCTTTCTGTATCTTTCCTAAAAGTGAGTTTAACGTTGCAGTGAGGTTTCAAAAAGTTTGTTTTTCTTTGTCCAGTGCAATAAAAAAGACTTAAATGAAGGTTCATGAATAATTTAAATATATTAATATATATTTGGAGTCCTAAGTTAATGTATCTTCCTTCCTAAAAGAATAGGTAATGTAAATATGGTACAAAGGGCCTCCCTGGTGTGCAGGCGGTTGATCGCCTCACTGTGAAGTTGTCCACAGCCTCTGCAGCGTGGGTTCGATCCCGGCTGGCCTGCGAGAATCCAACATGGCATGGCAGATCTCTCCTGTCTATGCAGCTGCTCTCCTCTGCAGTGTATTTCGTCAGTCTGCCTGTTCTGTTCCCTGCTCTGTTTTTGGTGAATCCTCTCACTCTCCTGTGCATCTGGCCTTTATCCTGGTTCTTGTATAAATAAATAAATCTTTCAAAAATAAATAATAAATAGGGCCTCCCTGGTGGCGCAGCGGTTGAGCACTGGGTTGCAAAACTGCCTGCAGCCTCTGCAGCGCCGGTTCGATCCCCGGCTGCTCCCAGGCCACCAGAGGAGGGTCCCACATGGCGCGCAGACCTCTCCTGCTGCCCGCTGCTCCCCTCAGCAGTGTACTTCGGTCCTTCTGCCTGCTCTGCCCCCCGCTCTGGCTCTGGTGCATTCTCTCACCCTCCTGCGCTTCTGACTGTACCCAGTGCTTGTATAAATAAAAAATAAATAAATAAATGAATAAATGTACATGTAAAATATCTGTTTTATAGTGCAGTAAGTGGATATTTTTTTCATGAAAACAATACAAGGCAATTGCAATGATAGAGCAGTATCTGAATCAAAGTAGTTTGCCTTGAGGAGAAAAATAAAAGCAACTATCCTGAATAATTTACTCAAACTTCACATTATCTAATTTTATCTTTACAATTTCTAATCTAAAAACTAAACTTTATATTAAAAAGATCTATAAGGCAAGTCTCTCAGATGTCCTTTATTGTATTTTCATAAATTAAAGCTTAAATTATTTTCCTGGGAAACATTATTTATAATTATTAATATAAATCATATTTCAAATATAAGAGTATCTACTTGTCTAATATCAGACATTTCATTT